TAACAACCATGGTGAATTTGAAGTTTAGTTAGCTCCTCTGTAATTTTCTTAGCTCTCCTTCTGAGGGAGTAACGTGACTTCAAGTTCGGACACCAACCATAAAAGCAACAGTGGCATCAACACTAGTTAATTGTTACGGCTCATTTGGTCATGCGATATGGAATCATGATTTGAAATTATGATATGATATCATAATATGAAATCATGAGATTAAATTGAAGTTTTGTTTGGACATGCGATATGAAATTTTTGTGTTGTATATTTTCTTATAAAAATAAGAATGCCATAAGTTGTAAAACTATTAAAATAACCTCAATTATTTATTCAAAAAATTATAAAATCACATAATAAATTATAACAAAGCTCCATTTAAGTAACTGTTTGATCTAACTTTAATTCAATAAAAAGAATTAAGCATAAATTATAGTGTATTTAATTACCGGATATCAGGTGTCCAAAAAGAAAAAAAAAGGCCTTTCAAAATGAGAGCATTATTAAAGTGGGAGTGTTTGATTAGATAACATTTCAAAAAATCTGATTCCATATGGCAGACAAAGAAATGTTAAAAAGTAAAAGTATATGTTTGCTTTTGGAATTTTCTCTCCAATTGACTAAGTGGAATAATAGAGAATATGGTATATGAAAATGAAAACTAAAAAAGTAGTGGGGTCATTATTAAAGTGGGAGTGTTTGATTAGATAACATTTCAAAAAATTTGATTCAGATGGCAGACAAAGAAATGTAGATAAAAAGTAAAAGTATATGTATGCTTTTGGAATTTTCTCTCCAATTGATTAAGTGAGTCATGATGAAGTCCTTGTTCTCTTCTATTGAAGTGAAAACAACTTTTTGTTATTTTTCAAACTCTTGGAAATTTAGGCATGTCTTGTAAGAAGTTAAATATTCATATACTGTAATCATAATATGTAAACGTTACATTTGGATTGTGAAACTACACGACTTTCACTGTTTGTGTACATAATGAAGAAAACATAGATGACTCCATTAGGTTGCTTGGAGCTTTGATGATCCTAGATGTCTTTGTTCTTTAAGTAGTGACAATTGGACAGAACAGAGACAAGTGTTCTGAATTCTTGGCTGGTTTGTGTGGCCTTTTTTAACATGATGGACAGCTAAATAATTGTATATATTAATGTAATTATATAGTGCTATGAATTAGTATTATCATATAGATTTGTTGTAGAATCAAAGGAATAAATATTGTAATGGCTAAATTACTACCATTGGCAATTTGTATTTGTGATAGACCTTGATACTTGCGAACATTTTTTAGGATGCTCGTTGAGTTGGTCATATGATTGAAAGCACTTGAATCAACAGTCCAAAAATTAGATGTAACATCATTAACTTGTAATTCCAATGCTGGAAAAGGCTGACACGATCATTTGTTGTACCATTTAAGGAGTAAGAACTTGTCCTGAAGATGAGTTATCAATAGTGGAATCATTTATCCCAGCTTGAAAAGCATTGACCCTACGATTTTGAGGGAGCGTGGGACACTCTTTGATAATGTGTCCTTGTTGTTTACAATAATTACAGAACTTCTTGCTACAATTGCTAGCAATATGGCCATATTCTTTGCAACTGTAGCATTGAGTTCTAGTCATATCTATGCCCTTTCCTTTAACTTGAGCAGCAAATGCAACAGTAACATGATGGATTTTCTTAATTTAAAATGCTCTACTTTCAAAGGATCCTCTTTTGAAGAGTCAGAGCAACATAGCCAATTTGGTAATGAATCATCTCTCATTTCTCTCTCAGGTATAGAGCAGTAACAAGTGCATATTATCGAAGTGCAGTTGGCGCAATGCTAGACTATGACTTAACAGAACGCCAATCATTCAATCATTGGCGTTCTTACTGTTACCTCAAGTTAATATCACAATCAACTATTTTCTAGATATTACTAATATATATTCAAGATCATTTTCTAGAAAGGAATGAAATTGTCGTTATATATAGCAAAGAATATGCTAGGAAGAACATAGTTATAATGCTCATCGCAAACAAATGTGATCTAGGAAGTCTTCAAGCTGTACCAGTTGAAGATGCTCAAGAATTCGCAGAAAGGGAAAATCTCTAACAAGAAACGATCTTTCAAAGTTTCTAACAGAAGACACATTCTATTTCTTGCATGTTCAAAATTTTCAATTTCTGAAAAGATGCCAAGTCCCATTCCTTTTCTAAGTAATTGTTCAGGCAAGATATCGCTATCTTCCTCGAAGAAGGATCAAAGCAAAAAGAGGTACTTGGCTTCATCACTTTCTAAGTGATTATAGCATACCTTCAGAGGTTGATACACATTTTCAATCACTCCTGGAATATTTCTTGGTGCAGATCTTTGTAATTCTACAAGGGCACCCTTCCATGAAGGCCTGCTGTTAAACTTTAGTGCTCTTGCAACTGTAACATTATTGCAATTGGCAGCCCCTTGCATTCTTTGGCAACTTCTTTTGTTATGTCATGAAGAGAAGGATCATCAACTGAATTACCGACTTTCTGCCTGAAAAGGATCCATGCTTCCTCTTTAGATAAGTTTCCAACTTCCATGATCTTATGAGCCTCCATAGCTTGACAAACATCTCGGCCACGCGTTGTGAATGTCACTTTGAATCGATGGTTGTGGTTGCTACCTCTGGGAATTCCAAGTTTCTCAAGATCATGAAGAGCCTCCCAAATATCATCCAGGATTATAAGAACACTTTCCTGACCCATTAACCTTGAACACAGAAGATCTCCACGCTGCCACAATTCGTCCCCTTCTAACGTCAGACCGACTCTTCTCGCAATCTCACCCTGAATTTTTTTCAAGTTTGGTTGTTGGCTGACAGTTACCATGACAATATCATCAAACAACCTTTCTTGTTTTGCCCTTTCTCTGATTTTCTCAGCCAGTGTTGTCTTACAAACACCAGGCATACCACATATCCCAATAACAGTGACCCCCTCATCTCTCAAAGCTTCCATGACCTCTTCCTCCTTCAAGGATACAACAAAGCCCTTGGATATACTTGCAGAATTTTCTTAGGTTACTTCTAGAGAGTCTTTATATTTATAGAACTTAAAAGAGAGTCATGTTCTTTCATGAACATATGACTTTTCATAACAGTCATGTATTTTCATGAACAAATGTGTCTGTTCAATAGCAGACCTTTATATATTACAAAGTATCCAACAGTAGTCTCCCATTAGTATTCGCGCTTTAGACTTCTACCTTATAAAAGGCCATTTTTCTGTCTGTGTGATGAGTATGATGATGAGAAGTCTGAAATTGTGAAACATGTACAAATAGAAGAAGAGAGATGGTGCTTAGTTCATGTGGTCATGCAAGTGTATTTAGCATTTAAATAGCGAATTCTACATAGGACTTTTACTACTATGTAGTGATTATGTCAAACGGAATATCTCGTCTATCTTATGATGTATCTTGAAACTCGCCTCTTACTTTTGGAGACAATACACATGTGATCGATTATATGCAACTCTTGCTGAATTACAGTTTCAAGTATGCAAAGATGCACACTTCCAACCGGACATTTACCTTCTGTTAAGCTATGTTGCTCGGACTCTTGAGAAAAATGTTGCCAGTATCCTCCAAAAGGCTCTACTTCTGAAGGGTCCGCTTTTGAAGAGTTAGAGCAACATAGCCAATTTGATAATTGTTGTAACTCAATGAATCATCTCTCATTTCTCTCTCAGGTATAGAGCAGTAACAAGTGCATATTATCGAGGTGCAGTTGGCGCAATGCTAGTCTATGACTTAACAAAACTCCAATCATTCGATCATATGGCTAGATGGCTGGAGTAACTAAGAGGTCATGCAGACAAGAACATAGTTATAATGCTCATCGCGAACAAATGTGATCTAGGAAGTTTTCGAGCTGTACCAGTTGAAGATGCTCAAGAATTTGCAGAAAGGGAGAACCTTTTCTTTATGGAAACATCAGCTCTTCAATCCACAAACGTCGATGGTGCATTCATGACAGCTTTAACAGAAATTTATAAAATCGTTAGCAAGAATACGCTTATTGCAGCTCCGGGAGCTGATTATGGGAAGCCACAATCTTTAAAGGGAACCAGGATAATTGCTCCTGGACAGGACAGAGATTCTAGTGGGAATAGTGATGGCTTCTGCATATCCTTTTAAGTACTCGATGCTTATTCAAAAGCTCGAACAGATATTAGATTGGTTCAATTTTCCTTTCTCCACTGGCACCTCCTCTAACTGAGAATCTCTGATGTGGAGAATTTCCAAATTGACAAGTTTGCCAATAATGGATATGTCATCCAACCATAAATTACTCAGACATAGCGTCTTTGGATTTGACAACCTCTGAATGGATGCTGGAAAAGGCGGAATGGTTTACTCATTCCAACAAAAAAATCATCATGTGATGTGATCAATCTTTCAAAACAATGTAGAATGCAAGATGACATGAGAAAATAAATCTACATATTAGTTGTTAAATATAATGAAAGATGAATTTAGAATCACAGGCGGATCCAAATTTATAGTTTACAGAATTCTGCAGTGACCTCAAGTTTATATCACAATCATCTATTTTTTAGATATTACTAATACATAGACAAGATCTATAGCCAATAGCTAGTAGGTTGACATGAACCAATAGGTTACAATAATGTAGATCCGCCTCTGCTTGTTAATTACCTCCATCACGAGCATAGGTATCAGGTGATGTTCGAGGTTTTACTTGCATTATTTCATTGAGTTTTTCCTACCCGCTTCCTAACTTCTGGCATGACTAGGTTCAGATTCGTCGGCATCATTATTACATAGCCACTACTAGCTTCGTCGTCATCACTAGCTTCTTGTTTCTGCAGGAAACAGAGAATGCAAAGAAGAGAGAGATGACTAGATTATTAAGTAAAAGAAAGTTGATGAACTTAAATAAGTATCGAAAACGGAAAGAGAGCAGTAGAACCTAATTAGAATATGTAGCTAGCGGAATAAGACATACCTTGTTAAACATCTGCTGTATCGACTTATTCAGATCATCTACTTTCCGCCTCCTATAATTGAAGATCATCAATTTGAGACTGGGTGTACTCACAGATATTCCCTGTTGGACAAACGTCTTCATTTCAGGGCAGACATCAATATACACGTCAGTGAGAAATGGAAATTCAAGAGCATGCTCTGTCAGAAAGAAATGCCTCAACTTAGGCAGAAAACTAAGTTTCAGCTGTTCTAAGAGTGGAAATAAGGTCATGATTCCTGCTCCTTCTTGTTCCTCTTTTGTGATCACTTCTTCCATTGAATCACAATTTTGTATTCTTAATTTTCGGAGATTCAAAAGACCTGTGGCCACTGATGGAGACATCAAGTTTCTCAATTTTCCACAAAATGATACAAACAATGTTTGAAGTTTGGTGAAGTAGTCAGTTGGAAGTTGGTGAGACCATAGAGCACTTATGCTTTTAAGGCCGTTGATGTATAGGTCTTCCAGGTTGGGACAAAAAACCTGCAAACATTGTTGCAGATAGAGTTGGAGCCATTGGAACAAAACACTAGGTCATAAGTGGACAAGCTAAAAGTGCTTACATACATTTATTTATATATTTTTAAAAAGCCAAATATATATATATATGTATAATTGTATATGATCTCGTTTCATATTTATTTTTTCCATTTGGGTTGGGTCTAGAGGGGTAAAAAAAGGGGTGAGATAATTTTTGAAACCCATATGACATTTTGAAATTAAAAGATCACTATTATATATTTTTTAATTAAATAGATATAAATTTATTAACAAAAATGATAATTATGCACCATATATTAGACGATAGAGGTATATATGCATCTAATTGTATTAACAAGAGGTATATTTGCTCAAAATCGCAAAGTTGAGCATTATATTTGCCCATTTTCCCTTAATTCAATAAAATAATTTGGATTTCACTCATCTGCATGTAAAATTTATCATAAATGCCCCCTTTTTTTCTATAAATATAAAAAATAGATGAAAAATGGTCTAAAGTGCCTTTATTGTTACTTAATAAATCAAAAATGTCATTTTTCAAATAAATATATCATTTATTTTCTTTTTGAACACATTATTTTCTGAATGATATTTTTTTATTAGCAAATGTTTATCCTACTTCAATTCAAAAAAAATAATATTAAAAATATTTCTTATTTATTTATAAATATCAAAATAAATATTAATGGTTGATTTACTATGATCTTATATATATAAGACATATAAGAAATAAAGAAATAATAGAGTACTTTAAAAGTAATATCTTTTAATAGGAATAAGATTTGTTCAAAAAGAAAAGAAATAATATATTTATGCGGAAAGAAATATTTTTGTTTCAAGTAGTAACAATAGGAACATTTCCAGAACAAACTATCAATGGCAAGAACATTTTCTGACCAAAGTATTGAGGGGAAGAACATTTTTGGACTAAACTATAAATTAAGGCATTTTTTTTATCATTTCATGTAATTTAAGGCATTATTAACCTTTTTTCAAAAATAAATTACAATATAGTTGCAAAAGAAATAGTCTTAAAACTTGTTCTTACTTTTTTCTTCTTTTCCATATTTATTTATTTTCACACTAAGAAAATGAAATAAGAATATAAAACTCAAATAATGATAAGTTAATATATCTATAAGGGATATATTTAAAATTTAAATTAACAGTTGAATAAAAGAAGTTACAAATATTCACATCAAATATAGCCCTATATGAATTTTTTAATTAACAAATTAAAAAATTAATTTAAAATTATTTTTTCACTTGTTAGACAAAAAGGATATATCTAAGCAATAGACTTTGTTGAAGTAAACATCTTTAATGCTCAAGTAAAAGGTAACATTTTGGTGATAAGAAGCAAACCTTTTCATCAAAAAGAGGATTTGACCTCTCTTGTATCCATTTATTTAGATCATCTACTTTCACCTCATCATCACATTTGAGAATCGGTGTACTCATAGATATTCCCTGTTGGACAAATGTCTTCATTTCAGGGCAGCAATGAATAGTCATATTTCTGAGTAATGGAAATTCAAGAGCATGCTCTGTGAGAAAGAAATGCCCCAGCTTAGGCAGGCCCCAAAGCTTCAACTCTTGCAATCGGGGAAATAAGGTGATTATTCCTTCTCCTTTTGTGATCACTTCTTCCATTGATTGACAGTTTTCTATGTATAACACTTGGAGATTCAGAAGACCTCTGGCCACTGATGGAGACATCAAGTTTCGCAATTCTCCACAATATGATACTCTCAATGTTTGAAGTTTGGTGAAGTAGTCAGTTGGAAGTTGGTGAGAGCATAGAGCACTTATGTTGTTAGCTCTATTGATAGATATCTCTTCTAGGTTGGGACAAGAAACCTGCGAACTTTGAAGTATCAAACTTTGTTGCAGATACAGTTGGAGCTATTGAGTGGAGAAACCAAAAGTGCTTACACACATTTATTTATATATTTTTAAAAATGCTATATATATATATATATATATATATATATATATATATATATATAAATTGTATATGATCTTGTTTCATATTTAAAAAAGTTTTTTAGTATGTCAAATACATTAGTATTTTTTTCCATTTGGGCTGAGTCTAGAGCGGTAGAGATAACTTTGAAAATTACACGACATTTTTTAAATTAAAAAATTACTATTATATACTTTTTAATTAAATAAATATAAAAATTTTAACGAAAATGATAAATATGCACCATAAATTAGACGGTGGATGTATATATGCACCAATTTTATTAACAAATAAATATATTATTTATTTTCTTTTTGAACATACACATTCTTTTCCTAATGATATTTTTTTTATTAGCAAATGTTAATCCTACTTCAATTGGAAAAAAATAATACTAAAAACATTTCTTATTTTATTATAAATATCAAAATAAAAATTAATGGTTGATTTACTATGAACTTATATGTAAGACATATATTATTAGTATAAAGGGTACATTTTTTAATAGTTAAAGTAATTTTAAAATAAAGAAAACAATAATAGAGTACTTTAAAAGTAATATCTTTTAATAGGAATAAGATTTGTTCAGAAAGAAAAGAAATAATATATTTTTGACTCAAGTAGTAACAATAGAAACATTTCCAGAACAAACTATCAACGGCAAGAACATTTTCTTACTAAAGTAGTGAGGGCAAGAACATTTTCTTACCTAAGTAGTGAGAGCAAGAACATTTTTGGACTAAACTATAAATTTAGGGCATTTTTGATCATTTTAGGTAAGTAAGGCATTATCGACCTTTTCTCAAAAAATAAATTACATTATAGCTGCCAAAATTTGTTCTTACTTTTTTCTTCTTTTCTATATCTATTTATTTTCACACTAAAAAAATGAAATAAGAATATGAAACTCAAATAATGATAAGTTAATAGATCTATAAGGGAATAAAACTTAAATTAACCGTTGAATAAAAAAAGTCACAAAAATTCACATCAAATATAGCCTTATATGGATTTTTAAATAACAAATTAAAATTATTTTTTCACTTGTCAGACAAAAAGGATATATCTAAGCAATAGACTTTGTTTAAGTAAATATCTTTAATGCTCAAGTAAAAGGTAACATTTTTGTGATAAGAAGCAAACCTTTTCATCAAAAAGAGGATTTGAGTTGTTGGCTGTAGGCCTGAAATTCTGGAACTCAGGTAAGCCATTGAAGATCATTATTTGTAACAGAGGGAACTCAATGCGCTCAACATTGTCACTGCAAATGTGAGTCAGGCATTTCAGTTTTTCAAGCTTCAACTCATATAAATTGGGGAACTTGATTACTTTATGTGTCCTCTTCAATAAATGTCTCACTAAATCACATTGATAGAGGCAGAGACATTTCACGTTCTGAAATTCATTCAGCTGCAACTCAGTCAACACATTATTAAAGTCCTTTCCGGTTGACTCTACAAGTTCACTCTCCTTCAACAGGTGGCAGATCCAATCACCCAATGGGGCAGTCTTCGTGACCTCTAAAGCAATAATCTTGTCTTTATCATCAATGTTTGAAATCCCCAAGTAAAATCCATCCATTCTAAGAGTGTACCGTCTCAACTTGGAGGGAAGCCCAAGGTTACTGTACATCACATCACTCCAATCTTCTACTCCCACCATATGTAGTTCCTCCAATTGAGCTAGTAATTTTGATAACACCCCTCCTGAAATCCTTTTAAGTGTTCTATTCTCATTCCAAAACTCTAACATAATTAGCTTGGTCAATTTTTCTGTCTCCTCTGGCAGCTCATCTAATTCACAATCTCTTAGGCTGAGAATTTCTAATTCGACAAGTTCCCCAATAAAGGATATGTCATCCAATATTAAATCACTCAGACACAGAGTCCTCAGACTTGACAACCTCCTAATGGATGCTGGAAAACGCAGAATGGACTCCTTAAATCTGAGTCCCCTCAGGCTCAAGACATTGAGGTTTCTCATTTCATCAAAAAAATTGTCCTGTAGCTTGAATGGATCTTCAAAATGGAGTTTCAACATTAAAAGCTTTAGTTTTGTGCAAATTATTGGTCTAGGATGCTCACCAAATTTATTTGCAACAATTGACATGTGACTGAAATGATCATACGAAGTTTTTCTTGGAAACTCTTCCGAGTTAACATCGTGACTTACCATAAAGTTATGCTCTCCCTCAGACGCAATACTTATAGCTACATCACGGACCACATCATGCATTTTCACATGATTTTTGTCTGGACCTTGGGATAAGAAGAAACCATCTTTCAATATTTCTAATAGAAGACACATCCTATTTCTTGCTCCTTGTATATTTTTAATTCTCGAAAAGATTCCAAGCCTCATTCCAAATCCAAGCAATTCTTCAGTCCGAATATAACTATCTTCCTCGAACAAAGAACAAAGCAAAAAGAGATACTTTGCCTCATTCTCGCTCAAGTGGTCATAGCTTAGCCTCAGAGATTTATACACCTTTTCGTGCACTCCAGGGATATTTTTTGGTTCTGCATCACGTAATTGTATAAGAGCATCCTCCCACGAAGGCTTGGTTTTACTCTTTAGTGCTCCTGCAAGTATAATAATTGCAAGCGGCAACCCCTTGCATTCTTTGGCAACCTCTTTTGCTATGTCAATCAGAGAAGGATCGTTGCCAAAATCACCGACTTTCTCTTTGAAAAGTCTCCATGCTTCCTCTTCAGATAATGTTCCTACTTCAATGATCGGCTGAGCTTCCATTTCTACACAAACATTTCGGAATCGCGTCGTCAATATCACTTTGCACCGATGGTTGTGGTTGTTACCGCTGGGAATTCCAAGTTTGTCTAGATCATGAAGAGCCTCCCAAACATCATCCAAGATTATAAGGTTACGGCTGTTCTGAAGCATTAGCCTTGTACGCAGCCGATCTCCACGAATCAACAAATTATCCCCTTCTAATGTCAGCCCGAGTCCTTCTGCAATCTGACCCTGAAGTTTTTTCAAGTCAGGTTGTTGACTGACAGTAACCATGACAACATCTTTGAAGAGCCCTTGTTGCTTCTCCTCTAGTCTGATTTTCTCAGCGAGTGTTGTTTTACCAACACCACCCAGACCACATATCCCAATCATAGTGACCCCTTCATCTCTCACAGCTGCCATGACCTCTTCCTCTTTTAATTTTCTGGAGTGCAGATCCTCACCATTGTTACTATATATAGCCTCACTTTGAACTGGACGATCAAAGGAGATTACTTCGCCTTCAGTTTGAAGTTTAGTCAAGTCCTCTGTAATTTTCTTGGCTCTCCTGCTGAGGGAGTAACGTGACTTCAAGTTTGGACACCAACCATAAAAGCAACCCCTTTCAACCTCAGCTGTACCTCCCATTACATCATCCACTTGTGCAATAGTGGTATCAACACTTTCTAACCAAGCCTCGCCATTGAGTGAAATGAGTTGTAAGTTTCCCCTGGCAACTTCCTCTTTTTCCTGCACCGCACTTTTGATGATCTTCAGCTTCTCAGATTCTTTTCCCATAGATGTGATGTTACTGTTGTAGTTAAATAAGTACCCAATCCCTCGCTCCACTGGCAGCATCAAGCAATCTGTGACTTTCCCCACCAAAACAGATAACAGTTCCATATTTTTTTGTTACAAGGTGTGAAAATGATGGAAATGGATAATTTGGTTTGAAAATTAAATATCAGATATTGGAAATGGAGAATTTGGTATGTAAATGAAATATGAGAGAACGGAATTAGAGAATTTGGTATGAAAAATGAAAGGTAGAAGAGCAGCAACGTAGAATTTGGTATGAAAATCAAAGAGTAGCAATGTTGGAGAATTTGGTATGAAAATGAATGCTTAAGAGAGGCAATGGAAAGTTTGATTGTGTTATTCGAAGAAACAAATTCACAGAGATTTATAAGCTATCAAAATAATATCTTTAAAGTGAGTATTGATTGCCTAACTTATTAAAGTAGTGAGCATCTGATTCCTTATCTTCCTTCACTCAAATTCCTGTTAGGATTCAAGTATTGATTACCTAACAAATTAAAGTAGTGAGCATCTGATTCCACGACTTTCCCAAAAATATATGCTTTCTTGCAATGGCAGACACTATAAAGAAGAATAAAATGGAAAAGTATATGCTTCTTTTTGGAATTTTCACCTTGCTTGCCAAGTGCTCAAAGATCAGTCCAGACATTCTCTCCAACTTTTAACAAAGTATTTCCCTTCCAGTTTCACATAAATGACTACTTGATGATTTTTTAGAATAATAATCTACTACAACCAAATGGCACCATAGAGAAATGGAAAGATAAAAAGGCTAATCTCTCAAATTACTTTTTAGAGAAACACTCCTGACCAAACAGGCTATAAGTCAGAAATGAATGCCCCAGCTTTGGCAGCCGTAAAGCTCCAGCTCTTCCAACCTGGGAAAAAGGGCTCTAGTCATTTCTTCTCCTTGTTGTTCCTCTTCTGTGATCACTTCGATATCAGCTTATCCAGCCATAAGTGTTTTTTAAAATACTCCTAATGCATGTTGTTTAATTTTTAACATGCTGAAGATAAATTTAATAAATTGAAGGTTTGATTAAAACTATTGTAAAGCCATAGTTATAGTTTTAACTTTTCGCTTTTGGGAAACATCCCATACAAACACCATTATATATAAAGACATATATAGAAAGCAAGATTACATGAGAAAATACATCTACAGATTAGATGTCAAATATGACAAGTATGTGCACAGCGTGTGTGAAGATGCCTATATTCTTTCTATTGGGGCTAGAGTAGTCGTATTTCTTATATTAGTATGTTGTTTGTAAGTAAAATTCTGGATCCTTCCTCCCTTCTAATTCCTCCTTCAGAATCTTCTTGTCTTGATAATATTTATGAACCTACACTTTATATATTATGAAGGAAAGTATGATCTTGGTTATTATTCTCCTAGTTCGAAATGTTCAAACACATTTTTACAAAAGCAACTTGCATTATTCTGGAGTCGAACGCCTCACCGCTGTTACTAAGCTGGTATAGCTTCAAATTCAACTGCAGGATAGGAAAAAACAGCATAATATTTCAAAGTTCAATCACATCCGGTACAATTTTCTTATATTCGCTGCTCAGAAAGTAATGTGACCTCGAGTTTGGACACCAAGTCACCAACCATAGAAGCAACCTCAATTCTACCTCACCGCGTTGCACCTGCGACATCTATAGTAGGGGTATAAACACTAGTTAACCATGCCTCAACAGTGAGTGGAAATGAGTAGTAAGTTTCTCCGGGCAGCCTCCACTCCTAGCTGCACCCCGCTTCTGAGATTCATTATCCAACGCATAACTTGTGGGATGTTATGATACGAAAAATATAACCTTATATCTTTTTCTACTCACAAAACTTCTAACATTTTCCTAGTGAAATGCTACGACTTGTTGATGTTCTCCAAAGAGTACATCTCTGTATAGACTTTCACTGCTCAATGATTTGCAGAATACATAAAACGTCCCTGAGATAGTTGTACAATGACCAAACTTAATCCTAAACAAATGAAAGAGTGGTCAGATTCCAAGCAAACAAGTAATAACCAATCTAGGCAATCTTTCATAAGAACTGAATAACATGATCCATGGTTTTGTGATTCCAAATACAAGGGATATCTTGTTCTTGCCAACCAAGAACCACAATAGTCTGTAAAGACAAATACTCGTTGCATCAAGAAAACTTGAAATATATGACATCCTCTCAACTCAACTTTTACTCTCCTTGCATCAGGAAAAAAAAAGACAATTTAAAATCTCAAAGCAAATCAAACCATATAAAGGAAGTCTTGACAAGGTAAAAAAAATAAAAAATCCTGAGGTGGGATTATTGTGCACCAAAATTACAAGTTCTCAAACTTCCATCACTCAGCAGAGGATGAAACTGAAATCTCAGGCAGGCAGGCATCCACCTTCTCTATCTAACTATATCGGAAAAGGGAAACTCAATTCGATTTGCAAATGGATTGTACTCTTCAATGGGTTCTTTCTTATTGCAGCCACTTTCATCCGCAATGTGATTGGTTGTCAAATTTGAAGATAAGTTCCTCACCATCCCTTCTTTTAAAGAAAAAGGATCGGGTGTGAAAGAGAAAAGAGAGAAGCCTGAATTTCTGGACTCCTCCTTTTCACCGGATCCAGCAGTCGTTGACTTCTCCATTGTGTCCAGTCCTACTGGAGCCATCCTTTGCGCATTAGCTTCCTGATGGGGATCTTTTAACCTACCAACTGTTGAAACCCTGGCATTTTCCTTGATGCATCTGTCACTGGTTGGAGCAACTGACTGAAAAACAGGTAAGTGACCATGGTTAATGGGTGGAGGGATCAGATGCTGCAGGGCACCATGCTGCATGAAATGGGCATTCGCATTTAAACCATATGAAAATGGAGTAGCAAATACATAATGGTTTGGATGAGGAAATGGCATGAACCCATTTACAGGAGCAGTCGCCCAAGAAGGTGGAGTTTGATAATAATAGTCCATTGCAGGAACTTGAAACCTTGGGAAGTGTGTGCCTTGACTGTGAACTGGTGGACGCAAGGATTGAGGTCGCATGCCAAGAGTCCCATTCACATTTGCATTTGTTGAAGCAGCTGTGTTCGGGAAACTTCCCACAGGAGTTCCTACAGAATTTGGTGTCAGGGAACTGACATCCTCACCTCTAGCAGTAGCAGTTCTTTTTTCTTGTGCAACTTCGTAGCATTCAGCAAAAGCATTCTGCATAACTTCAGAAGTTTCTCTTCCTTCAGAGTTTTTGCTGCAATCTTCTGAATCTGACGTCGATGATGATTCTGAATTATGTGGATTTGAAAAGGATGTAGCACTGTCTCCCTCACTAAGGCAGGATGAGCAATTATCAGAATTAGAAGAGCTGCTTTGTGATAAACCCAAAGTCCTCTGAGAGGAAGACCTCGGCATCAGACAAGAATCAACTTTATCTTCAGCCACTTCTTTCACATAACAAAGTGATTTATCTTCCAAGTGACAACCACTTGCACAGTTGCTTTTAGTTTCAGAACTAGACTTTCTTAATTCTTGTATGCCCTTTTCTTCATTTAACTGAAGAGAACTGGATACTCCCAAATTATTAGAAATAGAAGGCTCGGGATGCTTATCAATTCCAGTGCTCTCAATCTGGAAAGTTGAAGATCTCAAGGTAACATCAGAGTCAGAGCTGCTCCTTGGATATTTCTTTCGCAATTCCATTGGTTCCCATACCTTCTTAATAACAGATGAATCTCTGCTAGACAGATTATTACGTATAGCCATTTTGCTTTTGGGTCTTGCACAATTTTCACGCGCATATTCAACCTGATTATATTTGGTTCCATAGTAGGGCTTGGAGATATCTGATTCGCATCCTAACTTACTCACAGGTTTGTTGTTCCCGATTCCTCTGGCCATGTTTGGGTACAACTTAGCTCTGTCGTCACTGTGTTGGTTACAGCTGCAATCTGAGGATTCATATCGGTCATACTTCCTGATATTGGAACAATTCAACTTTTCAGCAAACTTAGAGGCACCATCTTTCATGCTGGATTTTGCAGCATTACTTCTTAATGGCTTATTTAACCTGTTGGTACTCCTTGAAGCTTCAACGTTATCACAGCGATGTCTTGGCTCATACTTACTTGCCGCACCTCCACTGCCTGAAACAGCAAATCGACGTCCATCAAACCATTTCAGGCTTGAATCTGGTTCAAATTCTTTTCGAAATTTCAACCTCCCAGAATGTCTCATATGGTCAGCTGGAAATGAGCCATTCCCCTCGTTCATATTGAATTCCTCAAAATAATCATCGGAGTTGATTTGCATACTTGGGTGATTATATCCATCCAAAAGTAGATCATCTTCATCATTCGGCGATAAAGGGCAGGATAAATTAACTTCCCCAGCTTCACTTACTGAGTCTGTATAGCCCATCAGATTAGATTCCTCATCAACGTTAGGTGATAATTCCTCCTTTGAAACATCATCAGGGGTAAAATTACTTTGGTTTGAGTCGCAACTTTTCTTCTCTCTATCCTTTTCTTTTTCTCTTAATCTCTCCTTCCTCCGCAGCTTCTTTTCCTTTTCTTTTATCCTCCTCCTCTCCTTGCGTTCTTCTTCTTCACGTTTTTCCTTCTCTTCTTCCTCGAGAAGTTTCATCTGCACAGAAATATGCCTCTGAAAATTGGAAATGGCATAATAATCTCACAAGTAGAACTTCCTACACCAGAATTATAACTACTAATACCTGCTTTTCTAAAGTTACAATCTCCTTGCAGGCAACATGAATGCGCTCCTCCAGCAACTTCAATGCAAGACATACAAATATGCTATGTGCATTTTGCCGCGCAGTTCCTTCTCTAAAAGCTTTTTCAACCTGCAAATAATTTCAGTGTCAAAACACTTCCAAGCACTACAATAACCAAAAGATGAAATCAATTGTCTAAGAAAGTCTTGGTTCAAGAAATGGAGACCTCAACTTTTCAAGGCAGATTCATGTAATTTTAGAGTGTATCAGAGCAAATCCCCATCACAGAAGGAATGAAGAACCAGACTTGCAACGACTAAGCATAGGACATTAAAAAGATAAAGCTACTACGTTACATTG